TAATTCGATTTTCGAGATTTCTATTTCAAGGTCCTTGTATTTTGACAGCTTTTTGAATATCTTCAAAGATACATTGCAGTCAGCAGGGACTGACATATCAATAAGGAGGCACTTTTTTTTGTTTGTGGTCTTTAATAACAATATCTGGGCGGTTGGCTTTGATTGTTCTATCGGTGTGTATTGTGTAGTCCCATAGAATTGTAACAGGTCCTATCTCCGTAACCGGGCCTGGGTGGTGTTTACACCAGTAATTATTATTATTATTATTATTATTATTATTATTATTATTATCAGTAATATTTAGATTTTTTTAGGTTTACTAGCTGTCGACTATCTTAATACACCAAGACAAAATATGTACATATTAACTGCCCTAATCAATTAAGACCAGAAGCCTTGAGATTAAGATTATTGGTACAAACGCAACCAATTTTAATGAAGATGGAACCAAAGTACCAGTTGTCTAAAACCAGAGGACTGATGTGGCATATTTTCAACATGATTCGAGATGTCCTAAGGAGTGTAGTCTTCTGTAAGTGTCCAAACTTGACATTAACCTTAGTCTTCTCCATCCATTTCGGAAGGTTACTATTTATGGCGTCCATAGCATAACCAACAATGGAGATGACTTGCACTCTCTTCATTAAGCACCATTTGTACATTTTAAACTATCATAGTTTTCCTAATTTGACGAGTATAATGTCGCCAGGACATGCAATATCTATAATGATTCATGTTTTCTTTTTTATCTAGCACTACAATGTGTCTTATTTAATGGTCATATTGGATCATGTCATTATTTGATTTGATATTCTTTCTGACTCGTAGGTGTTTATTACCATTTTAATTGGCAAGCTCTTTTCACTTGTGTTGTTGAAATAATCGAAGCAATTAATAAATTGATTCTAATTTATACATTGACAATATTTTTACGTACACAGATTATTGTTTGATTCTTCCATATACTAATCAAACCTAAATGAAAACTTGATTAAAACTCTATTGCAGTTACAAACTTCATCGAGTTTTTCGAACATTACCAATTGATTCTTGACAAACATCGATCTGGACATTAAAAATGTTTAAGCAGAAATAAAATTTACAACAATGTCAAAGAGAAATTATGCCGAAAAAGATCCAGGAATTTGAAACAACACAAGAAAAATCGAAGAAAGTATAGATTTTCCTTTTGCGATATATATATATAGATATATAGAGAGAGAGAGAGAGACAGACAGACAGACAGACAGACAGACAGAGACAGAGAGAGAGACGGTGAGCTTGGACGTGGTGAGTTTGTTCACCAAGGTACCCACGGAGGAGGCACTCTCAGTAGTCAGAGACAGATTGGCCTCTGACTCTTCCCTAGAAGAACGGACCAGTATTCCAATAGATAATCTGATGGAGATGTTGACTTTCTGTACACAAACATCACACTTCGGAATGGGATCACACATATATCGACAGGATGAGGGCTTAGCAATGGGCTCACCATTATCACCAGCAATGGCGAATATATGCATGGAATACTTTGAGGAAATGGCATTAGAATCTATATCTCTAAAGCCAACTATATAGTCAAGGTACGTAGATGACACCTTCATACTCTAGCCACACCAGGAAGATGTTCAGGTTCTACTGGACCATGTGAACACAATAAGACCTTCGATACAGTTCACAATGGAGAAAGAGAGTAACAACACACTCTCATTCCTGGATGTTCTAATATCTCGAACAGAGCATGGGTTCAAGACATCTGTATACCGTAAACCAACATTCACCGGACAGTACCTCAATTTCAACTCCCACCATCCATTCAGCGTAAAGAAAGGGATCGTCCGTTGCTTACAACACCGAGCAAAAGTCATAAGTGGCGGCCCAGAGACGTTAGATAAAGAACTGGTCAGTATAAGTAGTACCCTACAACGTAACAACTACCCTGGGTACATGGCAGCAGCCCCCCCCCAAAAAAAAAAACTGGGATAGGCGGGTACAAGAGCAGGACAACAACACTCAGAAAACAGTCTGCCTGCCTTATGTGAAGGGGTTATCAGAGAAAATACAAAGGATCTGCGGTCCATATAACATCAGGACAACCTTCAAAAACTTGACGACACTTCGCAGATATCTCTCCCGAGTGAGACCCCCCATAAAGGAGAACATGACTAAAGACTGCGTGTACGCTATCCCGTGCAGCTGCGGAAAGGAATATAGACAGGCCGCCCCCTCAAGGTAAGGCTTCAAGAACACCAGAAATCTGTAACACGAGGGGAAGTAAAAAAAATCAGGCGTGGCTGACCACATATGTAGAGAGAAAGGAGATCACCGCCCTCTGTGGAATCATGTTGAGATCATAGACAAAGAACACCATTGGAAAATTCGTAAACTTAAAGAATCAGCACATATGCTAGGCCACAAAAATTTCCTGAGCGGACCAAGTATAGAAATAAATACAATATGGGAACCAGTAATAAGGAGTGCCAGAGAAAAGCAATGATAACAACAAAGTTGCAATATGAGCTCTGATAAAAACATACAATGATAACAGCAAAATTGCAATATGAGCACGTTAAAAATGGTTGCTGAAGACATTAGGTTTATAATACCCAGAAATTCATACCCAGATGTCATCAAGGACACATGGCACAGTGGATAAAGGCATTGGTTAGATCCAGTGACAAGACCCGGTTAAGGTAGTGGAGAACTTTCAGAGGGAAATTAGCAGGAGATAACTGATAACTAACATCCATCAAACATGGAACATGGAACTAGAACAGTCTACCCCAGTGAGCGAAATAAAGGGTTCAGTTCGAAATTCCAACCAGTTAAAGAAGGCCGGAGCGTACAACGGCTGAAACGTTGTGATAAATATGGCGACAAAGATGAGGACAATAGTCCGAATAATGTAAATAATGTACATAATACCTCATATATATATATATATATATATATATATATATATATATATATATATTGTGTGTGTATGTATGTATATGTATATATGTATAAACATTTGTAATATTTTCTTTGTCCTAGTTTCGCCAATTGGCCAGCGTCTTCAGAAAAAAATTCTATTTCACAAGAATAAAATCTACATTAACAAGACAAACATGATTCACGTTCAGTTTTTTATTATATATATATATATATATATATATATATATATATATATATATATATATAATTAATTTATCTATATAAATATACATAAACACACACACAGATATATATATATATACACCTATATATTCAAGTGTTATTTACTTTTTTGAAGATTTATTCTATGTATGCCTGTATATGTGCGTATATATGCATTAGTATATATATATATATATATATATAGAGAGAGAGAGAGATAGATAGATAGATAGATAGATAGATAGATAGATAGATAGATAGATAGATAGATAGATAGGGCTAATATGCAACGAAAAGTTCAACGACATGGGAACTGGTATCACTCGACGGGGAAAAAACAAGGTTGAAGTATTCCGAATCAACTTGAAGAGTGGTTATTCCTTTTACTAATAAACTGAAACATACGCCTGGGTGCATCTTTAACAGTGCAAACTGCTTGAGCCGAGAGGTTAAGCTTGCAACGAAGCAATACGAAGTCATATTTGATGCACACTGACACTCCAACGTTGGACACATGGCAGTAACCCACAGACAGGGAGCACACGTGATTGCATAAAATAAAAGAATATTGCACCACTTTATCCTTTCCAACTAATGAGTCAAATTCTCTGTGAGCTTCGTAATGCGGGGGAAGGTAACGTAGGCGTAAGTTGTTTATCTTGAATCACGTTTAATTCTTACTAACCCTTTTATTTAACTGTTAACTTATTTTGCCGTCTTTTCTCCACACCCCACACATTTTTAATCTTACAAAACCTTTCGGAACCAGAGTGCCACAACGAATGACGTTCAAAACCTCGCTTTTCCTTCACACACACACATACATACACGTCCAGTAGTTTCTTATATTACAGACTTACCGATTACATTTTATGCACTATCTATCTATCTATCTATCTATCTATATATATATATATATATATATATATATATATACACATATGTATATACATGTATACATTTTTTCAAATCTATCTATCTATCTATCTTCATTTCTTGAAATCTATCTATCTCAGTCTGTTCTGATCTATCTATCTCTCTCTATATATATATATACATATATATATTTGTTCAAATCTCTCTCTCCCCCCTCTCTCTCTCTTTCTCTCTCTCTTCTCTCTCTCTCTCTCTCTCTCTCTCTCTCTCTGTGTATATATATATATATATATATATATATATATATATATATGTGTTCAAATCTATTTATCTACAGTGACACGCATAAGTATTGGATACATGTTATTTTCTGTTATAACTCTAGTTTATGTTCGCCATTTTGCCTGATATTTGGTAAGTAATATCTCGTAATGTTGTTTTACTTGTATGTTTAAGGAAAATTAAAAACTCATGGTTGAATCCATTTTTTTTTTATCAAAGTTCAAAATTACCCTATGCAAAACTATTGAATACATGACACTTTCTTCAAATTTCCAATCGAAACTTTGTATTTTAAAAGATTTTAAATATTCAAATTTTCGATAGTATTGGAATGTTATCTCTGACCAATCAGAGAAGCGCACAATTGTTTACAAGATAGTACTACTAATCATATGACTCTTTGATGTGCATTCTGCAATTCAAAGATTAAAAATGGCAAAAACTAAATAATTATCCAGAGATATGCGAGATAGAATCATTGAACGTCACAAAGGAGGACAAGGTTACCGAAAAATTAGCAAAGAAATGAATCTAGCACTAAGTACAGTAGGAAATATCATCAGAAAGTATAAGAAGTATGGCGACGGTACAGCAAACCTTCCAAGAAATGGAAGACCGAGAAAAATCTATCTATCTATCTATCTATCTATCTATCTATCTATCTATCTATCTATCTATCTATCTATGGGTCTCATGGCCACAGG